TTACTAAGTAATATCCTTAGTCAAGTTCTAATAAAACTATGTGTGGTAGGTAAAATGTATGTCCTTTCATATCCAACAGTATTTTTATTCTTTCTCTGTGCCTAATTGTGATTTTGAAAAGATCTACATTTATTAATACAAAATAATTTTCCATTAGAACTTCAAGGCCTTTCTCATTATCTTCATAATAGAAGCTTCCGGCAGTCTCACTTTTGTCTGCTGTCAGTTTGTTTCATTTTGGTTTCCCCACTGGAATATTTTATGGTGTTTCTTTAACCCTTGAGGTTCTAAAATTTTGAAAATGATTTATTTCGGGATGAGTCTTTATTAATTTTGATAAATACCTGACCATACCTTTCTATGTAAAGGATTAGATCCTTTATATTTGAAAAATTTTCCTTATTATTTGTTTTGATAATTTCCTCCCTTCATCTTCTCTGTTGATCTCTCTAGCTCTGTCACCTGAGGTTGGAATTCCTCGGTCTATTCTCTGTTTTATCTTTTCTACCATATATTACATTTCTTTGTCTTTTTAAATTTCAGTGAGATTTCCTTGATTTAATTTTCCAAACTTTCTATTAAAATTTCCAATTGTTTATAGCATTCTATTATTACTTTTACAGATTAAGAATTCTAATTAGAAAGACTTTCAACTTGTTTGCTGTTACATGAGCTTTCTGTATTAAATCTGTGATAATTTTCATGTTATTTTATTCTCATCTTCTCTTTCATATTATTAGAGTTTCTCAAACATTTGCTCTGCCCTCCTCAGCCTTGTCCTTTACATACTGTATACCATCTTATTTCATCTCAAGATACATTTCTTCAAGCCACCTCTAACCTCCCCCAAACTATACCTGGTTCCTGTGCAACACTCTCTCATTTTACCTCATTCTTTTCCTTTACAAATTATTCACAGTTTGTAATTATATGTTTGTGGAATTATGTAATATATGATATTTCTTCCCACTAGAGTGTAAATTCTATGAAAACAATAATTGTATCTGTTTTCACATTATTTTAATGATACTCATAACAACGTATGGTACTTATTGCTATAATGGTACTCAATGACCATTTTTGCATTTTTGATGAATTAATGAATATATAAACAAGTCTGGGAACTTAGTGCAGCCAATAATAAAGGAAAGGATACTTCGCTTTCCTCTGTTACTATTAGTTCTTGCATACACATTCTTTAGAGTTGCGTTTCTGAGAGGTTGCTATAGTCTTAGGCAGGATTTGGATACTCAGGGTTTCCTCACTGTGATCAAAATGAGAATAGCCTACAAACTAACATAACTTCAAACACAATGAATGCTTCTCTGCCTATGTTTATGGGACTTTCCTGGAATGCATTTTTAAAAATCTTTGTTTTACAGAAAACTTCAACTGAGTACAGCAGTAGAGAGAAGAGTACCATGTTTTAACAACCAAGCTTTAACAATGATCAATTCATGGCCAATTTTGTAAACCCACCCAATTAATCATACATGCACACTGGGTTATTTCGAAGATATTTTCAGATATCATTTTTCATTCATAATTATTTTATTATGAAAATCTAAAGTATAATGACTTTTTAGAAATAAAACAGCAATGCCATTACCACACTGAAATTAGATAATTCCTTAATACGATCAGAGTCAATTTTTCTGATTGCCTCATATAAATTTGGTTCATGTATTTCTTCAGCCTTTAAAAATGTAGTTTCTCTCCTTTCTCTCTCTGAATTGTTGCTGAAGAAATGGAGTTGTTCATCTAGTAGAAGTTCCCATATTCTAGATCTTGTTGGTTGCATCCCTGCGGTGTCATTCGCTGTGGGATTTGTTAGTTGGACTCAGGAAATAACAATAACACGAATTGTTAACACCTACTGATGACTTACTATGTGCCAGTACAGGCTAAGTAAAATAAAATGTTTAATTATTCAAATCCCCAGTTTGTATGTCTAAGTGCAAACCTGAAATATTTCATGTGATTTTTGAAATTTTGTAAATTTTATTTTTAAATTTTGTAAAATTTATTTTTAGAGATGGGCTCTTGCTTTGTTGCCTAGGCTGGAGCGAGCGCAGTGCACGGTCCTAGCCCACTGAAGCCTTGAACTTTTGGGCTCAAATGCTCCTCTTGCCTCAGCCTCCAGAGTAGCTGGGACTACAAGCATGCCACCATGCACTAATTTATTTTTATGTTGTAGGGATGGGGCCTTGCTTTGTTGCCCAGGCAGCTGTTGAACTCCTGGTTTCAAGCAATCCTCCCCCATTGGCCTCCAAAGTGCTAAGATCACAGGCACAAGTCTCTGTGACCCACTAATTTTGTAAATTTTAAATAGTGTGATATTAAATATTAATGAAGTCATGTTTTGTGTATATAATCCAAAATAATTAAAATAACAAATAATTTTTTAAGTATCACATGATTTAAAATCATGGAGGTTGATCTGTAACCCTATTTATAGTAATGTCAATAATGTCTCTACTTTTTTAGCTGATAAAAATTTACTCTTATTTTTTAGAATTAGTTTTAATTCTGCTATTTTAACATTACATAAATAATTTTTGAATACATCCTTTTAAAAAAGTGCAACAATCATTAAATTTGTTTTCCACAGTACTTCTTGAGGAAGGAGTCTGAGTTGGGCAGCATTTGTAGATTTCTGTATGACTCTGGTCATTATGCTCTTCAGTATAACCCTTGTATTACACACATACACACAGACACACAAATGCACACAACTCCAAAATGCTGGGTTATTGCCTCATGAATCATTAAAATTTATATGAAATTTATTTGAAACTCTATTGCTAAAAATTTCTTAGCACATCTGTGCATTTTAATGTGACCTTTTTATACTAAAATTTTTATTTTATATATTTGGGAACGTAATTTGTTACCTTTTGTTTTCCTTTTTAAAAATAGACTTTATTTTAAAGCAGTTTTAGGTTCACAGAAAAACTGAGTAGAAGGTACAGAGATATCCCAGAAATCCCCAACCCTTGGGCCATGGACTGGTACCAGTAGGTGGCCTGTTAGAAACTAAGCCATGCAGTGGGCGAGCCAGCGTTACCAACAGAGCTCCGCCTTCTGTCAGATCAGTGGTGGCATTAGACCTCACAGGAGGGCGAACCCTATTGTTAACTGTGCATGCAAGTGATCTAGATTGCATGTTCCTTATGAGAGTCTAGTTAATGCTTGTTGATCTGAGGTGGAACGGTTTCACAGTTTCATCCCCAAATCATGCCCCTTTCCTCCCACTATCTGTGGAAATATCGTCTTCCATAAAACTGGTCCCTGGTGCCAAAAAGATTGGGGACTGTTGCCAGATACACTCCTCTGCTCCCACACATACATAGCCTCCCCCATTAGCAACATCTCCCACCAGAGTGGTACATTTGCTGCAATTTATGAACTTACATTGGCACATCATTATCACCCAAAGTCCATAGTTTACATTAACTCTCACTCCTGTTGCACATTCTGCGGATTTGGACAAAAGCATAATGACATTTTTATCATTGTGGTATCAAACAGAATAGTTTAATTTCCCTAAAAATCCTCTGTGCTCTGTGATGGACATTTTCATGATCATCACTGGTTCAGATTCCCTGTGCTTACTAATTCCCAGTCTGCATTTTAAATTATTTTCTCCTTGAAGTTTCTTCACCTTCTCCCCAAAGTAAACATGCATGAACCTCTGTTACATATGATATACCTTGAATAAACACTTATGGGCCACAAGAAGGAAATATATCCCTTCTTTGAGAGCTGAAAACAAAAGTCAAATATTACAACTTCTCATCCTAAGAGTTCTCTTAGCAATCCAATCTCAGCCTCTCTCATTCTGGAGAAAGATAAATATCCTTCAATTATCATACAAAAAGAAATTCGCCCATAGCTCTACATTTGAATTCTCCTAAATCATTAAGAGGCTGTGAAAAACAAATGTACTTTTCATATAATATAACCCATTCTTTAAAATAAATTAATTTTAAGTATAACCACAGTGTTTCCTTATGTATTTATATATTATGTGCAAGGCATTGACTATATATCAAGATTATTCAAATTCCATCAATAACTTTGTAAGGAAAATTATTGCTCCTACGTTGTGGATGAGAAAATAAGGTCAGAAATGTTGGATACTTTACCTATTTATAAAGTAAAATACTAGCTTCAAAGTACTGAGTCCTGGATTTGGATTTAGGGTTCTTTGCACCAAACTATACTGTATCAATTATTGCATTAATGTTTTTCTTTTTTTTCTCCAATTAAAATGTAAACTCACTGATGCAGGTAGCAGGGATAGGAATATCCTCATGGATTTCATAGCTATTTAGAGTCATGAGGTCACTGCTGACCCATTTCCTCTGGGAGAGCTTCTGCTAGGAGATGGTGAATCCAGTGGAAGACGCAGTACCCACAGCTGCTGCTATGTTGTCTCAACTGTGTTGTTCTTCCTAAGGTTTCTCTCCTAAGCTCATGCTTTCCTTAGCCAGGAGGGGTGAGCGGAAAGGACTGGGAATTTCTGAAGATATTGGCGCTGTTTTTTATGGGCATGTTTCCTAGAAACATCCTGCAGCCGTATTCACTATATGTCTCCTTCATGCCAGGGTGGCACCGGGAAAGCTACGTGGTTCTCTAGCAAAGCTTCACTCAGGAGGTGAGGCAGACTGTACCTCTCTTCTAGGGCTCCTAGATATGTCTGTGGCCTCTACTCCCATCCCTTCTCCCACTGTCAGTAACCCTATGCGAAGAGTAAGTATTTGTTCCTTTTCAGATACCCACATTGCTGTCTTATTCTAATGTTTTTCTGACTTCCATTTCTTTTCCTGCCTAAAGAATTTTTATTCCCTCAAGGTGAGGATGGGAGAGGAAGGCTTCTACTGTCACCATTCTTCACAAATTTAAGGTTTTGAGAATAAATTTTTACTTTTGATATTTTTGAGATTCGAATTTCCTTTTTCCTAACTTATTTATCTGTCACACTTTTAAAGGCCATATTGAAATTAGTACAAACTCACTTTTTGGTTTTAAAATTTTTGCTTTAACAATTCTGAACCAAGGGCAGAGGGTACCCATTAACTTCATTGTTGCCTGAATTGAGGGGTGGGTAGCAGTGCCAAGGAAGAAAGAAACAGTAACATCAGCTAAGAAATCAATATATTATCAGGCCATACTGTACTTGGTTGCTTCTGTGTTACTGGACATAAAATATGATCTGGGAAATGAGATTAAATAGGCTTGAAACATAAGAGTCTCCCAATTCTTAGTCATACTTTCAGTCAGCCCTGGATGAAAGATAGAAAAATTTGGCATAAATCTCATAAAGGGAATTTATCGCTTCTTTGGAGATTTTAGATTGAGGTTACGGAGGAATTAGGTAGCTGGGTGGCTTACCCCAGGCATCTCTTAATAGATAACTTTAGAGAAAAGAAAAAAAAATCAGGAGGAAATAATTCAAAGGCATTTGTGAGCTCTGAGGAGATACAGCAGCTGAAGTCCCAGAGAAAAGGTGAGAGGAGAACCATTTGGAGGAGAAAAGGGATATGATAAATCAGGCCAGAAAACAGTGCTAGGTCACCTAGCAAGTCCATTCTGCTCCTGTAGATGGTGATGCACCTGCAATAGGACAGACATGAGAAGGATGGCTCCAAGGGGGCTCCTGTGTCATGATCATGCCACTTCCCAATTCCCCTATGACTTTCAACCACATTCGTGTCCACAGCCTCCTCCCATTTTCCTCCCATTTTCCTTCCTCTCATACTGTGGCTTCAGCTCTAACCAATCTCAATCTTACCTTCCCTTCCAGGATGGGATTCACAAGAGCCCTTGGCGTCTGGAAGCACCAGCTGAACGCAGGCCTCGGATGATGAAGACAGTGCCCACCACAATGCCCACGAGGCCCACAGACAACCCCAGGGCGCAGACCACAGTCTCTGTGAACTCTGACACAGAGGGTGAAATCTCAGGCTCTGTGGAAGTGAAGTTGTTGAGGTCAGAATGCAGAGTGTTCTCATGTGCAGGTGTGTGGGATGGGATGGGATGGAGGGTTGACTCTGCAGAGACTCAAGGCCCCCCTGGCTTAGGGAGGAGAGTGAAATCTATCATTAATACCCGTGAACCCATGAAGTGGCAGGTCTGCTCCCACTCTGTGGAGTGTAGTTTCATTTTCAATAAATCTCTGCTTTTGTTGCCCTAATCTTTCAAAAAAAAAAAAAGGAGAGAGATGGAAAAAAAATAATAATCTCATGAAGTGTGGAAAACAAGTTTTGGGATATAGGAGTAAAAGGCAGGAAGTTCTGAACTTGACAGACAAGAAAGCATCAAAAAGTGGTGGAATGCATACTTACCCCAGTGTTTCAGAAAAGGCTCATCCAGGCCCCAGTGCTCCACCTTGCAGTCATAAATCTCATCAGCAGAAGGGAGGAAGGTGAGGTAACTGATCTTGAAGAAGGAATGATCACTCTTGGAGAGGAAGCTGGTTTCAGAAACACCTTCTGTGACCGAGTGCCCATTGCTCAACCATGTGATGTTGACCACGGGAGGAAAGATGTTGTCCACAAGGCAGATGAGGGTGTTGGGCTTACCCAGTGCCACAGGAGACTTGGAAAACACTGTGACCTCAGGAACCTCTGTGGTGAGGAAACAGCATTGATGTGAAGTGTGAATAGCTCTTCCCTGAGGTTCTTCATTATGTCCTGGAAGAGCCCTCCTACCAGCGTTTTCTCTGCTGCTGGTCAAAGAGGTCTTATTTAACTTCTGCTTGGGAACAATGATACATTGCTTCTGCTTTATTCTTGTTCCCTTCTCTCTGTGGGCATGTTCAATAAAGTAGGAGGTTGATGAGAGCTCTTCTAGAAGGATTTAATAAATGCATAATGGAAAGACTCTTGTATTACATGGGAATATGTGATTTTAGAGAAAGGAGATGATAAAATTTCAGCAATTGCCATGAAGAGATCTGGAAACCTCTTGGAAAGAAAATAATGAAACTTGATATGAACGGATAGATTCAGTAAAGAGAGGCAGAATGGTGGCACATACCATTGGTAGCAGCGGTAGAGTTGGAGCGTTTAATCAGGATGTCCAAGTTGTGTTTTGTCACAGCGATGTTTGTCAGTGCGCCCTGCGGATCAAAACTTGTAAATGTGCTGAACATAGGCAATCGCCAGACAGTCTCCTTTTTCCCTAGGTCCACGTAGAACTCCTCATCTCCATCAAATTCATGGGTGAACTGGCCAGAGGGACCATAAGACTGGTACAAGTTTACACCATAAGAGGCAATGTGGTCAGCTGATGAGTGAAGGTGACAAGCAGGAAAGTGGAGAAGAGGGGAAGAAAGAACCTTAATACAAAAATCATGGAAGAAGCTGACTTTCAAATATTACTGGTTTCATCTTTGATACAGTCTGTGGACATTCCCAGCCCCTGCTTCCTCCCCTCTTAGTGTTGGTAGTTCGGTCAAAATTGAGATTTTCCCCCCACTATAATGTGTGCTACACAAGGGTAGAGCATTGCATGTCAAATTTTTACTATATTCTGAATGCCTGGCACATCATGGACTTGTGATTAAATAATGTTATTGAACAAAAGAAAAAATGAATGAGTTATCATAGTATTTAGCTTTCGTAGCCAGAGATTAGGTTTACTTCCTTCTGCTTCCTAAGTTTTATCTTTCACTTAATTCTTTCATCAGTTAATAACAAATTGATTATATTTCCTTTCCTCTGAGGACTGGCTTAGAACAGGACACTCTACACAGAGATCTTTCTGTAAAAAAAGAAAAAAAGGAAAAGTATGCAGAATGTTATTAATTTAGAATAGTTTCTACTAACAACTGCAGGATATAAGAAAGAGTATAACGAGATTGGTAATAACATTATAAAATATATAATAAATAAACAATGCCTCCTTCTAAGATCTCTGTTTTGTTAATAGTAATGGTCCTTGGAGGAGAGCAACTGATTTCTGCTGAAATGAAAAGTGGGAGCTCTACTAGTTTTTGGACTTCTGTCATTCCCCTCCACCATTTTTTTTTTCCTGAGGGAGGTTACTATGGGTTTTGACTCAACACGTACATTCACTTGAGGACGCAGGCAAATTAAGCCCTTTTTCCTCTAACGGGCAGTGTGCTTGTCTGAGGATGCCAGAGCAGAATGGCAACCTTGTAGCACAACTGCAGCCAAATGAGCCTCAGTGGACATTCTTGTCAAGACATGTGTAAGCCTTTTACCATTGTGTATTTCCTTCCTTCCCCACCTTCTGAGCATCTGCAAGGGTCAGACAAGCAGGGGTTGTGTGAAACACCAGTCAGACATTGCCTAACATTAAGAAACCTACTGAGTAGTGGAAGAGTCAGGTAGGTAAGGGAGCAAATACAATGTACTGTGGTGAGTTCTGTGAGGAGGATATCAACAGCCTTACAGTCCAACATCCTTCACAGGTATCTGTCAAGCAAACCAAACTGCATTGTTCTTTCACATTCCCTGGCCTTTGCAGTGGTCTGTTATTTTTCTCCCTGCAGTGAAATTATCTATTAGGACTTCCTGGAGAAATCCTAATATTCATCCTTGAGGTCTCTGCTTAGTTAACAACTTTGTAGCTAAGTCCGCTCATCAACATGTTTTTGACCACATTATGACCTCCAACCCCTCCATCTCAGTGTCTGGCTCTGCAAGTTTGTCTGTTTCTCTTCCAGCTCACCTTCTTCCCTAACCAGCATGACTGCCCTGGTGGGTCTTAGCAGGCTACCAACAAAGCCTCCTTAACCTTGCAATAAACCTTGACTCCTTGTTCAAACATGAATATATGCAGAATATATACAATCTGTCTTTTCATCTGGTACTTTTCTTGGGTGCTGAGTTTTCCTGGAGGACATCATCCTGCTGGCCCAGCGGGAACCAAGTCATTAATACAGATTCCACCTCTGCTGAGTCCGCTCCCCTCCTTAGCAATAGCTTTCTGCCTTCCTGCACCCCAAACTGTTTCTATCACTAGACTGAGTACCCTTTGCAGGGAAGATAGCATGACTTTTCATCTTTGAATCCTTAAAACTTAGCTCACTGTGTGCTCAAACATGTGTATTGAATGACAGTTGCTATATTTGAAGACCACATGGATTTTGGAGAAGACTGACAGGCACACAGGTAGCAGAACCATACGAAGGCCAGGATCAGCCATGATCAGGGCTGTGTTCTGACTTGTGATCCACAAGCCCTCTTGCTTTTGTGGGTCCCTTCCTCCATAAAAATATGGAAAATTATGTTATGTGACTGAATTGGTATAAAACAACATAATCCAGGCCGAATTAAGAGTTAAAACATTTTCTTAGGCTCTAAAATTTCACCTTTTAAAAAAAATTTTAAAAGGAGTCAAAACATTCTCATGTAGCTTTACAGTGTGGGAGGTTCCCTACACTGCCCACACTGTGCCTAATGGATGAGTCAAGACTGACCAGGGCATTCTGGTATGAGGTTGAAGAAAGAAAATTTGGAATAAAGAAGCCAAGTGCTCTGGAGAAGCAGGTGAAATGTCTACTGCCAAGCAAAATCAGAATGGGAACAGCCATGGTTAATAAGGTGGTGGAAGTTTGGAGTACTGTAGAAGATTGGTCAGGGTGGTGGGAGAAGCTATAGTGAAAGATGTAAACCTTCTTAAAAGGTTGGAAGGTTTTGCAAAGCTTCAGGAGAGAATAAGCAGAAGGGAGCTGTTCTCATATCCTAAGGCAGAGGCGAGGAGTAGGTAACAAGGGAGTGTAAAGGCATTTATCTACGTAAGTTTATTTATGTTGTCCAGAAACCAACCTTTTTTCTTAGGAGACTGCTCCCTGCAAGAGAGCCGACAATGTTAATTACACACAGATTGTGTTGGCTCCAGGCTTTTGGCATTGTATCTGTACTGAATAAAAGCAAAGAGCTCCAGCTTGTCAAGACTCCTGCTCACTCTCCAGCAGTCCCCTAGCTGCTCTCGTGCAAAATACCTGTGTCTGAGTGCTGCTTTCATCTGACACTCAGCCAGTGTCTGCAAGAACAGACTTGGCAGCTAGTGCCTTGCATGAGGAAAACAAATCTGAAGAGACTGCACAGTCAAAAAGTCATTGGTGCCCACTCGGGATTTCCAAGTTTGGGGGAATATACAAGCTAGGGTTTCATCATGGGACAACAGTTACCTGCTCAACAGAACAGTATATAAAAGTATTGAAACAGCAGCTTAAAGCTAGTGGAGCCTCAATATCACAGGTTCAATTAAGGCACCCCTAATGCAAACTGTTGTTTCCCAAAACCCATGGTTCCCAGAAGAAGGCACGCTAGACATAGTGCTCTGGGAACAAGTGGGGAGAAATCTTAAAAGATAAAATGCACAAGGCCAATGGGTCCCAGTAACATCTTTAACGTTGTGAGCCTTAGTCAGGGCTGCTTTGGCCCCGCTCTACAGAGAAGGTCCTGAAAAGGGAAGGGAGGAGGAGCCATCACCTACCTTACTGCCTCCTCCTTCTCCCTCAGCACCACAGTTATCTGGTTAAGATATGAAAGAGGAAACAGAAATTTTCCCTGAGCCCCCTCCCCTAATAAATTGGAAAAAAGACAAGGAATATACTACAGCTATGGAACCCTGTCTTAGGCAAGTGGCATTAGAAGGGGAGCTCTTAGCCCACCTAGTAATGCAAGATTGACAAGGCAATCAGGTATATGAACCCATTTCTTTTAATGCTTATAAAGAGATAAGAAAAAGCGTTAGAGAAACAGCTGCTAGCTTATTTATGAAAAGATTAAATGAAGCCACAGTAGACAACTTCTGTATGACTGCATGGGACTGGTCATTGCTAGCTAAAACAACTTTAGAGCCCAATCAATGCCTCCTCTGGAAGGCAGAATATGATGAGTTGTGCCAACAACAAGCCAACCAGAATCAATTGGTCTGGCCAGGCATAACAGCCACTATGCTCCAGGGGAGGGGTCCCTATGTCAATGTACGACAACAATTAAGTTTTGTTCCCCAAGCCTATGCACATGTGTCTTTGTGAACTCTCAGGGCTTGGGACCAAATTCCTGAAGGTAGACTTCAACAGGGATCTTTTATAAATGTTCGACAAGGGCCTCAGGAGCTATTTGTTGAATTTATCAGTTGGTTAACCCAGGCAATTAAGAGACAAATTAGTCAGGCCCAGGCTGCTGATATCTTATTGTTGCTACTGACTTATGAAAACGCGAATGTAGACTGCCAACAGGCAATGCAGGCAATCAGAAGAAAAGCAGCTACAGTTGAGGAATTTATACGAGCATGTCAACTTGTGGGAACTGAAATACACAAAGCCAAGATATTCTCTATGGCATTAAAACATCCTAAAGGCAGAAAACCCCTAATTGTTTTTTATGTGGAAAGCCAGGTCATATGAAGCAGGAATGTCCCAATAATAGAGACCTGGTAACTCAGGAAAAGAACTCCCTTCTATATGCCCCTGATGTAAAAAGGGGAAACATTGGGCAAATCAATGCAAGTCCAGGTTGATAAAAATGGCAACCCCCCCAAGTAATTAGGCAGGAAACTTCATGAGGGGCCTTCCCCAGGCACTGCTCCAAACTGGCGCAATGCCAGCCACTTTTCTTGATCAGATAAAAGCCCACAGTTCTTTCTCTCAGATCAGCCACCTCTGGGAGCACAGGGCTGGATTTAGTTTGCCCCAAATAATTAGTGCTAAAAGAAGGAGAAGACCCTAAAAGGGTTACAACAGGAATCTGGGGCCCACTGCCTCTGGGAACAGTTGGATTGGTCCTAGGGAGATTAAGCCTATCCAGTAAAGGAATCAATGTGCTCACCAGGATAATTGATAGTGATTATCAAGGTGAGATATTAGTTATGACAGAATTAAAGTAATACATATTATTCCACCTAAATCTAAAATAACTCAGTTACTACTCTTACCATTCTGGTTTCTCAACGCTCAGCAAAGGAAAGGGGAAGGGGAAGTTTTGGAAGCACGGAAGCCAAAGGAGTATTTTGGAGCCAATTAATCACTGATCAGAGATGCATTATTACCTTAAAAATTGGAAATCAAAATTTTACTGGCTTATTGGACACAGGGGTGGACGTTTTAATTATTAGTGATCAAAACTGGCCAGAAACTTGGTGTTGGGTCATTCAGAAACAAAAATTGTTGGCATCAGGAAAGTGCACACAGCCAAGCAGAGTGCGTGAGCCCTAATATGTTGTGATTTGGAAGGAAGAAAAGCTTCTAATCATGCCTCTTCTTGTCCTTTGAGGACAGGACCTACCTTTGAGGACAGAACCTATTAACTCAATGGGGGGGGTCACTCTGAAGACCCCTTTCTAATAATGGCCACTGTTGTAATTCCTCCCTACCCCTGATGTGGCTCTCTCAAGATCCTATTTGGGTAGAACAGTGGCCTTTAAAAAAAGAGAAATTACAATGAGCCCATGAATTAGTTGAGGAACAATTAAGAGCCAGCCATATAGAACCATCAAACAGCGCTTGGAATTCGCCCATTTTCATCGCTCCCAAAATGTCTGGCAAATGGAGACTTTTGCATGACTTACAAGCTATCTATGCTAATTTACAACTTATGGGGCCCCTTCAACAGGGGCTCCTTTTCCTCGCAGCGATTCCTCGAGATTGGCCTCTAGTCATTATTGACTTAAAAGACTGCTTTTATACTATTTCCCTTGCAAAACAGGACAGAGAAAAATTTGCATTTACAATATCAGCTATCAATAATGCAAGGCCACCTCACCAATTGTATTGGAAAGTACTTCTTCAAGAAATGCTGTACAATTTTACCATGTGTCAATATCATGTAAATCAGTCTTTGCTCCCCAGTAGAAAAGAATTTCCTAATTGCAAGATTATCCATTTTATGGATGACATTTTACTAGCAGTCCCAATGCAGCCAGTACTTTTGAGTTTATATGCCTCTGTTGTAAAGAATACACAGTTAAGAGATTTAATCATAGCACTTGAAAAAGTACAGATGTCTTCCCCTTGGAAATATCTTGGATACATACTAACCTCTTGGTCAGTAAGACCTCAAAAGGTTAAATTAATTACCAGCAACTTACACACCTTAAATGATTATCAGAAATTACTGGGTGACGTTAATTGACTTCACCACACCTTGGGCATAACTACTGATAAATTACAGGGAACACAGATTAATTATTACAGAATCTGATTTCTATCCTACAGGGCAATACAGCCCTTGACTCCCCCAGGTATTTAACCTCCACAGCAAAAAAGAAAATTGAGGAAATAGAGCAAGCTATTTCTCAGAGGCAACTAGATCTTATAGATCCATGATATTCAGTCCAATTATTTGCTTTTCCTACTAAACATTCCCCAACAGGATTAATAGGACAGATGGCCCCAAGGCTGCACTTCCTAGAATGGGTTTTTTGTTCACATACTGGGACTAAATACTATCTTCCTATATCCGGCTAGTTAGTAAAGTCATCTATACAAGCCACAGATGATGCAACCATCTTTTTCTTTCTGTTTCTCTTTCTTGCTTTCTTGCTTTTCTTTCTCTCTTTCTCTTTCTTTTTTTCCCTCCCTTCTTCCCTCCTTCCCTCCCTCCCTTCCTTCGTTCCTCTCTTTCTTTTTGAGACAGGGTGTCTCTCTGTTGCCCATGCAGCCTCTATCTCCTGTGCTCAGGCAGTTTTTCCACTGCAGCCTTCTGAGTAGCTGGGACCACAGGTATGCAACACTATGCTTGGCTAATTTTTATTTTATTTTTTTTAGTAGAGATGAGGCCTTGCTATGTTGCCCGGCTGGTCTCAAACACCTGGGCTCAAATGATCCTTGTGCCTCGGCCTCCCAAAGTACTGGGATTACAGGCGTGAGCCACCATGTCTGGCCCATTTTTCTTTTTATAAGATTTCATTAGATAAGGTGAAGAATAGGTAATTTGGGTTGATAATTTGAGAATTATATGATTTAATTTACCAAGTTTTTCTAGGATAAATTACCAATTTTAAAATAAAAGGATTCCTTATTTTGCTAAAGAAAAGAAATGTGAAGCTATATCTGTAATAAAAATATGTAAAAAAAGGTTGACATTCGTGTTTCCATGATTTATAAAGCTTATCTACATGCTGATTTTATTTGATTATTTGTGAGGTGACACGGATGAGGCAGCTGAGAGTAAGTGAGGACCATGAGGTGAGATGATTGCTGAAGGCATTCAGCCTGCTGGACTCCTCTACCCACTCCCCACCTGTGCCATTTCCTATGTGGAAATGTGAACAAGTCTGAGAGAAAGAAAAAGGCATCTTTCTCAATATCTACAGAGCATATTACTAATGAAACTATTTACCCCAAGATCTACTACAGGAGACAGACAAAAGCTTCAAAAGTTGTTCAGAGAAATTTGACAGTGACACTTCACAAATTTTTAATGATAAAAAGTTCTCCACTGATGGAAACCTTGCCAATTTTTGAGGTTTCCATCAATCATGATGGAATGACATAGAAACCTCCAGGCTGTAGTCACTGAAAAGATTAAAAACAGAATAGCGTCCTTACTGAACGCCAACAGCATAGATAAAAAGAGTAGGTTGGGGCTCTGGTTTCCTGAAGGAGGAACAGACATGATTTTTAAATCTCTTAATACTGAAGGGGCCCCAGGGAAATCTCAACAATTTCTCTGCAAATCACTTTCTTTCTTTTCCTTCAATTTCCTGTTTTTCAGCTCCAGAGAACATCCTTCACTCATGCACTCACCCACAATGTTTTCGCCTCCACAGGGGTTTATCATGGTGGTCAGGACGAGGGCCCCCAGCATCAGAACTTTGTTTAGGATCATCCTCTTCCCAAGGCAGCCTCAGCAGTTGCTGTTCTGAGTTGTAGAGTAATTGTGAGGACCTCGAGAAAAGGAAATCTGAAGACACTAAAACCAAACAGCTTAGAGTAATTGAGCCAGCCAAAGCCAGATCAGGTTTTGGCCAACTGGAAAAGTCCCCTATGATGACCCTTCAGTTGCTAGTTGAAGAGTTTGTATTAATAGCCCTGGAAGATATACACATGCCAAGCAGCAAATCACCATGACATGCGTATACCTATGTAAAAATCCTGCAAGATCTGCGCGTGTACCCAAGAACTTAAAGTATATTTTAAAAAATAGCCCTGGAAGAACTCAGGGAAATCCCCTCATTGTGATGCAGCCTCCACTCAGAGTGGACTTGAGGAAATGTTCTGTGAATAGAGGGAGGATACTAAATTGGAATCTTCTCTGGTGTGTGCATATCTGCCAGTGGCAAGAGGGGTGGGCATTTCTTTCTTTTTTTCTTTTTTCGTTTTGAGACTGCTCACTCTGTCACCCAGGCTGGAGTGCAATGGTGTGGTCTTGGTTCACTGCAACTTCCACCTCCTGGGTTCAAGCAATTCTCCCACCTCCGCCTCCCGAGTAGCTGGGATTAAAGGTGCCTGCCACCACACCCAGGTAAGTTTTGTATTTTTAGTAGGAACAGGATTTCACTACATTGGCCAGTCTGGTCTTGAACCCCTGACCTCATGATCTGCCCTCCTCAGTTTCCCAAAGTGTTGGAATTACAGGCGTGAGCCATTGCGTCTGGCCAGGGGTGGGCATTTCTGAGTAGTCTCATGGATAGATGAGGTCATCAATTATATGGCATCTTTCAGGAGTTTCTGAAGTTTTTCCCCGAGTTGATTTCCCTCCCTGGCAGTCCCTCTCCCCTCCCCTTTTTCTGCTTTCTGTGTGTAGGTTAGCTGTTTTGCTTTTTGATTCCATAGTGCATATGGAATTCTCCAAATATCAAGCTGACTCCACCTACCTAGCAATCTCTGCTGGTGGTAGTCAAGCAGTACCTTTGCCTTTTCTACGTGCATAAATCCAGTTGGGTAAGTTCTTCTTAAGCTCTCAAAAGATCCAGGTGTTGCCAGGGCAATAAAAAGGGGTTATAATGTCAGATGGCGCTGTCTACAGTAATTGCATGAGATTTTATACAATTTCTCTTTGAGTTGATTAATCCTTATGTTCTGTGTTTTGGTGCTTCTTGAGTGTGTTTAAAGGAAATTTAGGGACATTAATTACATTTAAAAAGCTTTGGCTGGCTCAATTACTGTAAGAATTTTTAAAAATTAAGAATGTCAAGTCAAAAGTTGAGGGTAGAATCAGTAGAACTGCATTGACTTAGAAAAATGGTTTTCTTAAACGATCAGATATTTAAAAAATTGTTATCCTACCACATTAAAATTCCAGGTATGTGCAAGGAACTAGAGATTGAGCTAAAGTTAGCCATTAGAGGGAAACTTATTATATATTTTCAGATGAATATGTTTTCCGTATGTGGTAGAAACCATGAGTTAATGGAAGTTTTATTTAGAATCAATCTGTCCTTAATAAATGGCCTTCTGAGATTCTCAGCACTGTTTTACCTCCCAGTGGCAGAGACTATAAAAAAAAAGGGTGAAATAAACAAACAAAAAGTGTCCAGATATCTGAGAGCTGCCTGGATGAAATTAATAAGGCCTTGGGGTTTCTAGGACCTAGCCTGGCACTCCTGGGTGGTTTTGGTTTTCCTGTTGAAGATAAAGGATTTCATAGAACATCAGAATCAGACAGGTACTCTGTGAGCACAATGGATTGAGATGGAACACCAGAATGCTCAGTCATTATGTCTGAAGCCAGACAAAACATGAATATTGTCCAAACCACAAAAATAACCAGGCACATCTCTCTCTTGGCAGTAATTTCTGCTTTTTTACCAGTTGCAACTGTAGCCTCAGGATAGTCTTATCTCCCTCTAAGTAGGATTTATGAAGCTACCCAATCATAGCATTGCCACTCCAACCCTCCACTTTCTGTCAGAATCTAATTAAAAAAAAAATCCCTCTTTCTTAAATCCTCCCCAAAATCACCTAAAACAAGTACGAACCTTACAATTGATTAATGGTCAATTTTATGTGTCAGCTAGACTGTGATCACCAGTTATTCAATCAAACACTAATAATCTAGATGTTACTGTGAAGATATTTTGTAGATGTCACTGAAGTTCATAATCAGTTGACGTTAAGAATGTATCCTAGAAAAACTGGGTGAGCTTAATCTAAGCTGTTGGAAAGCCTTAAGAGCAGAGCTGAAATTTCTCTGAGGAAGCAGAAATCCCCCTCTGGACAGCGTGTCATCCTGTGCTGAGAGTTCCAGCCTGCCCTTCCTGACAACCACCTCCCAGTGGATCTTGGACTTGCCTAGCCCACCCCCACAGTTGCAACAATTAATTCCATGCATCATTCTCTTAACATACGTATTCTCCTGGTTCTACTTCTTTGGTTCCAACAATCTCTTACTCAGGAGATGCACAATCCCCATGGTGAGTTTTATCCATCATTGCAATAAACAATAAAGCCAACTTGTTCATTCAAGGGTATGCTCCTGCTGGTCTTTGGCTGGAGGCATTGATGGTACCTCATTAGGCAGTGGTGAGGAATGTGCATATACTGCACTTGGAATGAAAAATTCCTAGGACTCTTTACATATACTTGTCATATTTTAATGGCATTCTCATTTTCCAAGGAGGACATTAAAGCCCAGAGATTTGAAGGACTTTTCACAGGGTCACACAGCTGGTAAGTAGTACAGATGCAATGCTGTGGGGCAAGCCATAGGTCCTTGTGAGGGGTGATGGGTAAGGGTCTCCTTCTGTGTGGATTCAGAATCCAGTGCCTTAACATGATTAGGAGAGATATCTGACCGTATAGGTCCTCCCATTGTGAACGAAGAGGGTTTTTGAGGTCCCACTTGAGGTATGCTCCCTTTACCACTCAATATCCTTCTTGCTGTGTAGAGAATAACATGTTTTTATCTTTTTTCCTGTATCCAGACTTACCTGCTTTGTGTCTCATGGAAATTCCTTAGGATTTTGGCAAATGAACAAAATGTTTTGGGATGATACTCTAGAATCTCACCTATTAACATTACAGTTTAAATAACTCAACTCCAGTTAAGAAGTTAGGGTGTAAAATGTGGGATTAGGGTTGTATCTTGGATGGGAAGTTGAGGGTGCTGTTTCAGATCTCACATCCTGTGGGGTGAAGGGAAAGTCCGAACAAAGCAAAGTCATTGAGGAGATAATAGACGCCCTTTCTATCTTTAACCTAGTTTTGTCTCTCTCCTCTTCCTGCTTCACCCAGCCATAACACAGTGGACCTTTTTCCAGTTGCTTCTGTCTTCAGGTCATAATTTTAATGTAAGGTAAAATAATAAGGAAATGAAACTCAGAAGAACAGTATAGCATTTTAACAAAAGCTAATTTGTTAACTTTTTCTGGTAGAAAGAGAAAAGGTCTTCTTCATAAATTAACAGTGGAAACAAAATTTGGAGTTCAAAATAGTACTTTGTCCAACAATTTTCTTAGAAAGCACTTATTGATATGTCATTGATCCATAACTAAAATGGCAATGGGATGTTCCATTGTAATTAACATCATTACGAGGAGCCCTCCAAGAAATTAGGTAGAATTTATGTTAGTTCTAATAAACAGTTATAACATTCTGGGGTAGCATTAGGAGAAATAACTAATGTAGAAGACGTGTTGATTGGGTATAGCAAACCACCATGGCACATGTATACCTATGTAATGAACCTGCACATTCTGCACATGTACCCCAGAACTTAAAGCATAATAATAATAATAATAATAATGAAAAGAAATTAGGTCGGATTTATGTTAGTTCTAATAAAGAGTTATAACATTCTCTAAGATTCTGTGTGTTTTCAAATTCTTTTAGTCTGACATTATGCACTGGTGAAGTTTTACCCTGAAGGCAAAGACTTCTATCTTGCAGTAGTTAAAGGTGCTTCACAGCAAAACAGAGTCTAGAGAAGCAAAGTAAGAAGAAGATAGATTTTGTAATAAGATAAACGTGCATTCCATGCTGATTTTTATTTTATCAGCTTTATCACCTCGGGCAAGCCACTCAAAATACCTGAGCCTTAGGGTGATTTTCTATAAAACAGACGGAAAATCATTAGATGATATTTAATATGGTAAAATGAAACAATAGATGAGTACAGATTATAAAGTTAAATAGAATCCAGTGTATGACACATAGCAACTACTCCTGAGTAGTAGATGCCACATAAAGACAAATATTAATAATGATAATGACAATAAAATCATACCTTGGGCTGGGAAAGCCTATCAGTTTTTCCTCATTCATTCAAACTTGTCCCAGTGGCACTCCAGGCATGTGGGAGCCTGTGAGCCACAGAAGTACTAAGACCTTGCTGGAAAGCAGAATTTCTTTGAAGACTGTTTATCTGTCACATTTTTCTAGGTAACAACGTACTCCGAAACTTCATGACTTCAAACATTGGTTTAGTTATCTCCTCATGATTCTGTAAGACAAATTGTGCTAGATCCACCTGGGTGGTCTTTTTGTGCTGGGCAGGTTCAGCTCTTCTCAGGTGGGCTCCCTCACATGTCTGTAGCATCAATAAGTTTGGCAGGGATAGGGGGCCTCTCTCCATCTGTGTGGGCTCATTATCTGTGGGCAGGCCAACTGAGGCCTATCACAGGTAATAGAGAGCTCCCCTGCGCAAGACAGAAATAGCAGATGTCTTAAGCTGAAACTTAAAACTCACATCACTTCCAGCACATTCTATTATTCAAAGCAATCATAGTACTAGCTCACATCAACAGGTGCGTTAATAGATTACATTTCTTGACAGAATGGGCTGCAAATAATTTGTAGCTATTTTTGCAACCTATCACAAATATCCTCTGGCTTTTAGCAATATGTAAATGAATTTGGTGTGTGAGCATTGGAGAGCCCCCATATTTGAAATAAATTCCACCCACTCACCCACAAGTCAAGAACTTATCTTTACTAGTCTGCTTTGAAAACACAGCAACACTTTCTCAAGGGAGATGTG